ATGTTTTAGCTATTCTATTGAATTATTCATAATTTAATCTATATATATAATCCTCAAAAAATGTCAATCAAGTTTAACCAATAGAGTTCTTTTGAAAAATATTTGTCCAATGATAATCATCATAGAAATTTTAAGCTATTAGTAATTCCCATGTGATATATAATATGGCGAAACGCAATATCCATAACAAATTTGCCATTGCATGTAAAATATTCTTTTTTCAACAAATTTTATCTAGATAATATTTTTGAAATATTTGCTCAACACCATAGTAAACACTATATTCTTTCTTTATTTTATTTTTAATGTGTAAAATTTCATTAGAGTCTATGAAATCTAGGCTGAATCAAGGAGAGTTGGCTTCAAAGTTAAATTACAATTATTTTATTTTTGATAAGATCACATATACCAAGGTAAAAGTTCTTATATTTTAAATTTATATAAAAAAAATTCTTTTTACCTTTTAAAACCTAATTAATCAAAATTCAGATGCCATATCAATATCAGATGATGTTTAGATATTATAAATATTTGCTCAACATCAAAGTAAACAATATTTATTAAAATCTTCAATTATTTTATTTTTGATGTGTAAACTTTCATTAGAGCCTATGACAACTGGACTGAATCAAGGAGAGTTAGCTTCAAAGTTAAATTTCAATTATTTTATTTTTGATAAGATCAGAAATACCAAAGTAAAAGTTCTTATATTTTAAATTTATTTAAAAATATTTCTTTTTACCTTTTAAAACCTAATTAATCAAAATTCAGACAAATTCTAAAACCTCTAAAAATGCCTAATAAGAAACTATGTGTTATTATGTTGTACTGACTTATTATCTTTTCAATCAATTGATAATATAATGAAAGATTTTTTGATGGTAACAAATTTATGAAAAAAAAATTGATATATTATCTATAATAGATCTACCTTTATGTCTTTTTTGTTTTATTGAAATAGCATTTGCTGCTGAGGAAGGTTGAATTTCATAACCATGCTAACAATAAGATTACACATAGACATGAATGATTTAAATAATATTAGATAATTCATATTCATTATCTATGTTTCTGTGTAGCTTTACAACCTAGAATAAATTTTTAACAAATATATTTCTTCTTGATAAATTTTCCCTAATTTGTTGTCTAATATAAATTAAAGATAATGATTTTATGTTATACTTTTCATAATTATTTTATAAATACCAAGTTATCAATTCTAATTCTGATTTGCCAGACAGGACAACACTAAGCCTGGCTGCTATTAATATTGTTTACCTATCAATGAAAGCACATGTACAATAAGAAATTAACTCAAAGGCCAAAATTTTGATCAATTACATTCTATATGTGGACAGATCAATACAGAAGAAGAAACTATAGTACATTTACACTTCATTTAATAATAGATAATTTTGAAATGATTTACTTTACTTTAGCAACTCATTATATAACCCCAAAACACACAGGTGAGACTATTCCAATTGAGATTGATAAAATAGAAAAGGAATTTAATTTAAAAAAGAAAAAATACAAATGGTCACTGATGCTGGGTCTAATGTTAGAAAGGGTGTTTGATTAGGTGAATATGAACACCGCTTATGTTTGGGTCATGATTTACACAATCTAGTTACAGTAGATGGTATTAAAAAGGTACCCTTATTTGAATCTCATCAAAAAAATTATAGGATATATTACTGTTCTAATATATAAAACTACAATAGTTGAATTTGAATTCGAGGCAGATCAAGAAAATGCCTAAGTATAATAGATTTAACATCAGACATGTTAGATCATAATAGCACTGATCCATATCCAGATACCCGATTTCAAATTGGCAATTCCATTGATAATGATAACAATATTTCCACGCAAAACCTTAAAATTGAACGTCCCAACACGTTGGCATAGTATATTAATTATGCTAGAAACCATATGTGGATTAAATAAGAATATAATTAATAATGTTTTGAAAAGAATTGGGAAACACTTTCTCAAATTATCAAACTATTAATCTGATCTGGTAGAAGAACTATTAGCATTTCTTTTAAAAATTAAAGAATCTGTCGAATTTCTATCAGTACAAGGGCCTACGATAAACTTGGTGTTACTTTTTAGAGGTGAAATTGAAACACATTTAATAGTAAATGAAAGTGATAGTTCTTGAATCATTTCACTTAAGGAAAATATGCTAAAAAAAACTTGCGCTACGATTTCCGGTTTGTGATTTTCAAGTAATAATATATAAGTACGTTCATTTATTTAATTCACTTTTTATTTTAAAAATTATCTAGGTATTGGCTTCTCCTCCTTTAGATCTAAGATTTCAAAAATCGACTATTGTGTCATAGTATATAGTAGAACAAGATTGCTGAGCTTCAGAATTATATAATAAAACATCTTAAACTTATTTAGAATGATGATATTCAGATAGTAAATATAGCTATTGAGGATCGAGAGGAATTATTAAATTCAAGTTGACAAAATTGTCAAATAAACATTCAACAAATATAAATTATGATTCCACGTTAGGTGACTTAGAACAAGAATACCATATTCTTCTTTGAAGACGACATTCACAAGATATGGATGTTCTAAATTTTTGGAGAAAAAAAAAGAGTGAACCAATCTTTCCAGCTCGCCAGAAAAATTCTTTGTATTCCGGCGACTAGCACACCCAGTGAAAAAGTTTTATCTATCGCTGGATTGACGTTGTATTCAAGGAGATCCAAAAATTTAAATAAAATCATTTTTATATATGATAATTATAAAATCACGAAATCGATTTTGGATTTTTTGTGAGTTTTCTCTTAAATAAAGATCAGAACATATGCCGAGATATCTGTAGAATAGTGCATATTTATTTTTTTAAAAAAAAATTATTAAGCAATTAAAAAAATTTATGTTATAAAAATTTATAATTGCGCCGATTTACGCCGCTTTTGATGACGGAGGCTAAAAATTGGGGCGCCGGGGCCAGACGACAAATTGTGCTGGCTACCGATAGTTTCGTACACGCGCAGGTCTATTTATACATTATGAATTATTATATACGTCAATTAGACATGGTTATAATATATTTATGAATTTAAAAAAATATAATATCTATTATATTAATCCTCAAAAAAAGTCAATCAAGTTTAACCAATAGAGATCTTTTAAAAAATATTTGTCCAATGATAATCATCATAGAAATTTTAAGCCATTAGTAATTCCCATGTGATATATAATATGGCGAAACAGAATGTCCACATCAAATTTGCCATTGCATGTAAAATATTATTTTTTCAATATATTTTATCTAGATAATATTTTTGAAATATTTGCTCAACACCATAGTAAACACTATATTCTTCATTTATTTTATTTTTAATGTGTAAACTTTCATTAGAGTCTATGACATCTGGGCTGAATCAAAGAGAGTTGGCTTCAAAGTTAAATTTCAATTATTTTATATTTGATAAAATCACATATACCAAGGTAAAAGTTCTTATATTTTAAATTTATATAAAAAAAATTCTTTTTACCTTTTAAAACCTAATTAATCAAATAAAATTTGAAGATCTTTTATTTATAAAAAAATTTGACCAATGATCTTCAAAGATCATCGTAAAATTTGAAGATCTTTTATTTTTTAAAAATTTTGTTTTTTTAGCAATTTTCATATTTCTCTCACAATTTTCGGCAGGGGTGCCTTTGATCGTAAGATACTTCATCGTATTTTTCGTCCAACTCGTCCAATTCGTTCAAAATGGAGATTAATAATTTTGAAATGGTAAAATTTAATTTTTTACCATAATCTTACGTTAAATGTTAATAATTCTTTTGGAATGTTAATATTTCTTTTGGAATGGTAAAATTTAATATATATTATTCAAATATAGAATATTTAGCAGGTTTCAAATGGCAAAATATAATTGCTACAGCAAATTAAGAAGATTAATAGGTTTAAAATGGTAAAATTTAATATATATTATTATTCAAATATAGAATATTTAGCAGGTTTCAAATGGTAACAATACAACCTGGAATATAATTTCTATAGCAAATAAAGAAGATTAATAGGTTTAAAATGGTAAAATTTAATATATATTATTATTCAAATATAGAATATTTAGCAGATTTCAAATGGTAACTAGCTCTTACACAATATCAAAAGAACAACCTAGGATATAATTTCTATAACAAATTAAGAAGATTAATAGGTTTAAAATGGTAAAATTTAATATATATTATTGTTGCGTTATTCCTTTATCTTATTTTTTGTTTTTTGCATTTGAACTTTTATTATTTTTGTTATAATCTAATTTTATTTTATAAACGGCGTAACCTTACTTTTTTATATATTATTTTACTTTTTTGTATTTCGTTTTATATTCTAATTTATATTTTAGAAAAGGTATTTATACCTTTAGAAAAGAAAAAGAAGTTAGTTAATAAAATATATTTTTTATTTAATAAAGTTAATAAAACTTATTTATTATTCACCGGCACATATTCATGTTATTCTACATGGTGCCTCCAGTTTTGGCATAAGAAACTCGCCTTATGGAAATATTTAAAAATAAATTTTTTTTTTTCCCTTTGTAAATATGGTTAATAAAAAAAAATTATAAAATGGTACAAACAATTCTATATAAGATGGATAAAAAAAGGGTAAGTCATTTCAAAATTATTTTCATCAATTATGTTCGCCTTCAAACTAATTAATGTACCCCATCAAATCTCCATATACGATATTTTGTTTGAGTTAACCTATAATTCCGATGTCACCTTTTATAGGATAAACGGTACGGAGGACGTGTTGTTTGAATTTATGAACTTAAGAGATATGATTAATTGTTTCGAATTGTTAAATGGGAAACATTACATTTATGGTGACAATGATTTCATTGAATTAATCTGTATATTTACCAAAACATGAATAGCTATACCAAAAATTTGAATTGATAAAATAATAAATGTTATAATTGCTTATTTATGTGTATTATTAATTAAATATGGAAATTAAACAAGAATTTACACATAAGATCCCTAAGTTAGTGGGTCCTCTTACTGAAATTTATTTAGACAGAATATTAAATTACTTTTCGACCAGTACATTATCGGACTCTATTAAAATTAATACTTTGCTTAATAATTTATCAGACGAAGTTTTTGATGACATTAAGGCAATTTGTTCTGATACCGATATTTTAGATCTTAAAATTGTGATTAAAAAGTTAACCTATCTTTTACCAGCGCTAAATTTAAATACTTTAATTAATAAATTTAATCTTCTTCAACAAAACTCATCAGAGAGTTTTATGCTGTGGTACATTAGAGTATCAAAACTTCATAAGAAATGTAATTTTTTGGACGATAGTAGATTAAAAGAGAAATTACGGACATCTACTTTAAACGATAAAATTAAATACAAATTCTCCAAAAATTTTGACCTTACATTGAATCAGATGGTGGAATTAGGGGTGAAACTGGACTCTAGTAATATTAAGTCTGAGGATAATAATATAAGTTATATAAATAATGATAAAAAATCCGATAAAGATAAAAATTTTTGCAGTAGAAATGATAATAATTTTCGAAATAATTTTAGAAATAATTATGATAATAGATATAGAAATGGGAATTACAATAATAATTTTAGATACAATTATGGTAATAATAATTCGCGATACCACGATAATTATAACAATTATAACTATAACAATTATCGCTATAATAATAATAATCAATCGAATTTTGGTAGAAATAATACATGGTATGATTATAATCAAAGAAAACAAATCCAATACGGTGACGGAAATCGTAACAATTACCAATCTTATTACAACAACTCAGATAATTATAGAGGTAATGATAAGTATCAGAGAAAGCAAATACAATATAACAACAACTCAAATAATTATAGAGGTAATGATAAGTATCAGAGAAAGCAAATACAATATAATAACAACTCAAATAATTATAGAAGTGGCGACGAAAATAATAGAAAGCAAATACAATACAATAATGATTACAACATGAATATTGAAGAAATTATTGAAGAGAAAGTTGATTCTACAAAGAACAAAGAACAAAGATGATAATGATTTTAATGTCAACAATTTATCTGGTGACGTGATTAATGACAAAGATAACGCATTTATGACTACTGTAAAAGTGAACGATGTTGTTACTTGTATGCAAGTGGACACTGGATCCAAATACACTATCATACCTCATGGTCTGGCTAAAAAACTTGGTATTAGAGATCTTAAGAAATCCGAGCTACAACTCACTGCTTATGACGGGAATTTAATCAAAATCATAGGAACTACTCAAGTTAAAGTGACTTATGATGGTATGTCCAAATATTTACAAGCGGTAGTGGTTGAATCAAGTAAAAATGCCTTGTTGGGACGTATGTGGATCAATGCTTTCAAAAATATTTTAAATAAATTTATAGCAAATATTGACACTAATTACGAAGATGAAATAAAAAAATTGATTAAAGAGTGTGAATCGAAATTAACTAATGGGCCAATCAACAAAGCAAGTGTCAAGTTACATTTAAGAAATGATGCCCAACCTAAAATTATACCGCCTAGACGTATTCCTTATTCAAAAATTAATCTTGTTAGTAATGAACTTAAAAAATGGATACATGATAAAATTATTGAGCCGGTGAATGATGTCCGATGGGCAAGTCCTGTTACCGCTGTCTATAAAGAAGATGGGAGCATTAGGCTTTGCGCTGATTTTAAGGATACTGTAAACCCAGCTCTAGAAGACTTTAGATACCCTCTACCACGAATTAATGATCTAATTGCTAAACTTTCGGAAGGAAAGAAATTTACGAAGATTGACTTTAAAAATGCTTTCTTACAGATTCCAATTGATAAAAGTTGCAGAAATATTTTAACCATATCTACGCATAAGGGATATTACCAATTTACTAGACTTCCTTTTGGGCTTAAGACCTCATCTGCCATTTTTCAACAGATTATGGATCAAATCTTCGGGGACATGGATGACGTTATATTTTATATTGATGATTTACTTATAACTGGAAAAAACGATGAAGCCCACCTAAACAATATAAAAAAAGTGTTTGATAGAATATCATCGTTTGGGCTAATACCTAACTTTAATAAAAGTGTGTTCTTTAAAAACAAAGTGAGGTTCCTGGGTCATGATATTGACGCTAAGGGGATTCATGCTAATCACGACAAAATGGAAGCAATAATTAATATGCCAGAACCAAAATCAGCTGCTGAATTATCAACATTTCTGGGAATGGCTGGCTACTATAGAAAATTTTTGAACAATTTTGCGGAAATTGCCGATCCTCTTTATAAGATTGTCAATAAAGAAAAATGGGCTTGGAATCTAGAACACTCTAAAAGTTTTAATGATCTAAAGAAGTTAAGTAGTCTTCCACCTGCTTTGACATATTTTAACCCTGAATTACCTATAGGGATAGCCACTGACGCATCAAAATGTGGTTTAGGAGCTGTTCTATTTCATATTGAAAAAGATGGTAAAGAAAAACCTATAGCTTTCGCGTCGAGAACTTTATTAAAATCTGAAATGAATTATACCAATATTGAGCGTGAGGCTCTCGCTATAATGTTCGCCATAAAGAGATTTCAGGAATATTTAATCGGCACAAAATTTACAATTATTACTGACCATAAGCCTCTAGTTCACATCTTCACCAAGGGTCTTAAGGATAATAGCACCATGTCGTTAAGACTCCAGAAGTGGAATATTACATTAGGAGGATATGATTTTAATATAAAGTACAAAGCCGGTAAATATAATGTTGTTCCTGATTGCCTTTCAAGATTACCACAAGAATGTAGTGATGAAACTATTGAAAATGTAACCATTATAAATGAATATGAGGACTTACCTATTAACTTTGATCAAATCCGTGATGAAACTTTGAAAGATACGGAATTAAAACAAGTCATAAATGATATTAATAACAACAGACCTATAATGAATAATATTTATAAAAACATTGAATTGGAATTAAGTATAATTAAAGATTGTCTTTACAAAAGCAATAAAATCATAATTCCGTCTAATATGAGAAAAACTATACTACAGTCATTACATGAAGGTCACTTGGGAGCAGGAAAAATCAAATCCTTAGCCAAAGATTACATGTGGTGGCCTGGCATAAATAATGCTATTGTTACGGAAGTGAAAAGTTGTGACGATTGTAATATATATCACGATAATCCTATAAAGATACAAAAACCATGGGTTTTGGCAACTAAACCGTTTGAAAGGATACATATAGATTATGCGGGTCCGTTTTTCACAAAAAATTGGTTGATAATAGTCGATGCCTACAGCAAATTTCCAATTATTATTCCTGTTAAAAATATTACGACTAATGTTACTTTAAAAGAAATCTTTAAAACTATTTCGCTATACGGAATACCTGAAACTATAGTTACTGATAACGGTACTAACTTTACGAGTAACGATTTTGAAAAATTTTGCAACAATTTTGGTATTAAACATGTGCTTACATCTGCTTATCACCAGCAATCCAATGGCCAGGTTGAACGCATAGAACGTTCAAAACACACATGAAAAGGAATATTAAAATAGATCCAGATATCGCACTTAGCAAATTTTTACTTAATTACAGAAATACGCGTAATGATACTACAGGAGTTACACCATCACAGAGAATGTTTAATCGAGATAATAGAATTAAATGGGACTTATTAAAACCGATGGAGGAAAAGAAGAATAAAATAAACGTCACTTTACCACGAAATAGAACTTTTAACGTAGGAGATTTTGTTTGGTATAAAATACAAGGTGATGATAAATGGTGCAAAGGTATAATCACACATAAGGAAAGTGATATGATGTTCCAAATTAAGACTGAGAAAGGTATTTTGAGGAGACATTTAGATCAAATAAGAATTAGAAACTGTTTTAACACAATTATTAACTATGACTCTAAGGATTCTTTTAAGGAGGGAAGTATGGACAAAAATATAAAAATTACTGATAATAATGATATAACACCTATCTCTAGACCTGTGCGAATAAAAAAAAAACCTGTTTATTTAAAAGACTATGTAACTTAAAATATAAAATAAATATTTAATTGCATAAACTAAATTAAATATTAAAACGCTAAAAATATAACAATCTTATTGATTTATCATTCTTCATTTATTCTTATGACGAACTATTATTTCATTCGCAACTTATTTATGATAATAACAATTTTGGAAAAATGATAATTAACAATTGAGTACTATCAAACAAGCTATGATCAATGGAGACAATTTACGATATGGATATCAAGCTTGCTATTTAAACAAACCACCGTGCAAAATCGATTTATACAAACCAACGATTGGACAAGCCAACGTTATGATGATTTGTGATACAACTTGATTACCAAAATTATAAACCACTTGAACAACAAACTCTCTATGACTTCTCCGATGAAATTATCAGAAGAGGGAGAATGTTGCGTTATTCCTTTATCTTATTTTTTGTTTTTTGCATTTGAACTTTTATTATTTTTGTTATAATCTAATTTCATTTTATAAACGGCGTAACCTTACTTTTTTATATATTATTTTACTTTTTTGTATTTCGTTTTATATTCTAATTTATATTTTAGAAAAGGTATTTATACCTTTAGAAAAGAAAAAGAAGTTAGTTAATAAAATATATTTTTTATTTAATAAAGTTAATAAAACTTATTTATTATTCACCGGCACATATTCATGTTATTCTACAATTATTATTCAAATATAGAATATTTAGCAGATTTCAAATGGTAACAATTTATCTTAGCTCTTATATCAAAAGAACAACCTAGGATATAATTTCTACAGCAAATTAAGAAGATTAATAGGTTTAAAATGGTAAAATTTAATATATATTATTATTCAAATATAGAATATTTAGCAGATTTCAAATGGTAACAATTTATCTTAGCTCTTACACAATATCAAAAGAACAACCTAGGATATAATTTCTATAGCGAATTAAGAAGATTAATAGGTTTAAAATGGTAAAATTTAATATATATTATTATTCAAATATAGAATATTTAGCAGATTTCAAATGGTAACAATTTATCTTAGCTCTTATACAATATCAAAAGAACAACCTAGGATACAATTTTTACAGCAAATTAAGAAGCTTATTTTATTATTCAAATTTATAATGTATATGACATATGTTAATTATTTCAAATGTAAATCGAATACAAAAATATAAACAACTAATATTTATTTAGCATGTATAAAACAAATATAAATTATTTACAATAAAAATTATATATTATCAAATAAATTTGAATTATATATTAATTTAATATAAGCTGAATTCTAAGGGTTGTCATGGAGTAAACATATTGCCTAAAAATAAACTGTTTATAAAAATAAAATAATTGATGAAACTAGTTATAGTAGTTTGCTACAGAGAGTTGAGATGGGGCACATATATTGCCTAAAATTATATTGATTATAGAAATTTTAATTTGTGAAACTTGATATGGCATTAACAGGTTGCATGTTCTGTGTTACTAAGGGTTGACATGGAGTAAACATATTGCCTAAAAATAAATTGATTTAGTGATTTATTTATAAAAATATTTACCAATATGTGATTTACACTGTTCTATGGTATGATCCTGCATCTCTGTGAACCTACCTGATTGTAAAATACCCCGTCCTAAGCAACTCCTTTGTCTACACCTGTAATACGATGTGGCATTTATTACTCTATGGATGGTATATTCTAAATCATTAAAACATAAAATATCACGTCCTCTTTTGGATTTTTTATTAGTAATTTTGTTTTCTAAAATCAAAACTAAATTATTTATATATAATTAGATTGCTAACTTTGAATTATAGTGGGATTAATTGTTCTCTCAAGAAGAAGTTTGATATTGTTTGACACCGTTTTAATTTCCATTATTATGATTAAAATTAAAAATATGTTTACTTTGTATTTCCCGCACTTTAATGGACCAATCACAGAATTGGACGAAACTTTACGATGAAGTGTCCATACGATCATAGGCACGGAAATCCAATTTTCATATTACTCCCACAAAATACCGAATTTCTCCCACAATTTGAAAATTTTGACCTGGCAACCCTGGTTGGTACTAGTATATTAATATGAAAAGTATAAACAATAATAGTTTTAATGGAACCCCATCTAATATTTATAAATATTTTAAAAAGATACGTCAACCGAGTAATTTTATGAGATTTAGAAATTTAGTTGAATGTTTAGGTGATAATATACTAATTTCACAAAAGAATGTTTTGATTGAGAAAAATTTGGAAGAACTTAATAATTCATATTTATTAAGGAATGACTCGATAAGTTATTGATTAAATATATTAATGATTATTTTTCTATATTAGATGAACCTTGCAAAAGTTTATGTAACTTTAACATAGATTATGACACATTATTACATCACTTATATCAAACCACATTTATTGTAATCGATGTTTATACAGGGAAAGATAATGTAAAATATTTACAGTTACAAAGCCAGAATCACCATGAAATAAACAAAAACTTTAAGTATAAATGTTATATAAAAGGAAATTGGTTTAACACTTTCATTAAAAATGGTGATATTATTAATATAATACCTCTCTGCCTTATCTATGCTAATTCAAATGATATTAAGATTGATGACCTGTGCAAGCTTGAATATATATATATTAATATTTACATAACTTGTAATTTTATTGATATATGTGATTTTGACCATATTCCAAAAAGAAATTGTATAAATATAATATATAATAATGGGAAATCAAACAGTGTTTCAGACAAAAAATTTCGATATATATTTAATATAGGATCTACAAACAAGAATGATGTGGATATAAAAAATATTAGAAAAGAAAATGAAAAAATTGATATTATTAATGTGCTGATGAAAGAATCTGAAGTTGTTATAGTTCTTAACCCTAATTATCAAGTATCATGTACTCATATAGTTTCTGCAATATCATGTCCAAGAAGGGCTGTACTAAATTCAAAATTTCAACAATTTAATTTACCATCTTCCACCATAAAGACAGGATTGGCTTCAGATAATAATGAAAAAAGTTTGTATTAATTAGATTTTTATATAGTTATTGATGGCCTATGCATAGCCAGGTTTTTACTAAGGAGGCTATTAGATATGTTCTTCACTCATAAAATTTATTGGTGGTCTTTAGATTCATTTATTGTTGGCCTTTTGCTATGATATATTTTTTATAAAAATCATTTTATTTTAAAACTTTTTTTTCTAAAAATTTTGAATTACAGTTGTTATTTTAGAAGATTAACTTTTACTTTCTTTCAAATTCTTGTTTAAAATGATATATTATATATATTTTTTGAGGGAGAGGCTATTTGGGTTGTTTAGGGGGAAAATATTTATTAACATGAAATAAAATTTACAATAACAGGCAAATTTATGAGGCAGGTGCGGCTTCTGTTGGTAGAGAACACCTTAGAAGCACAATTTTCCTAAAATACCTGGAGTTCCATTATATTTCAAAAAGTAGGTGAGATCTAGCTCCTTTTTGGGATTTTATTGCATAAATTGTTTAAATATAATCTTTAAAAAAAATGAATACAGTAAAAATAATATATATTTATTTTATGAAACTATAATGTTGAGCCTAGTTTTTATTTATATTTTATTTTTTTATTCTCTTTTTTTAATTTATAAAACATGGAAGGCAATTAATGTTGTTATCAGAAGTAGAAGATGCTTAATTGAATGAAATAATATTTCCATACATTAAATATTTTTCCCTTTTAAAAGAGGTGGATCTTAATGAAACAACTTTTGGATAGACTCAAAATCATTGCAACAAAAGTATGCAGCCTTAACCTTGAAATATTGTTGAAGGTAAGCACACTTATGATGTTTTGGCCAAGATTATAACTTATATACATAGAAGTTTTAAAATCCAGAAAAGATAATAACCATTACTGACAATGATGGAAACCTTGTGAAGGCTTTCAGATTATTCTAAATTAAACATTTTAAATTATATATGAATTTCTTTTTATTTTTCAGTATGTTTGGGTAAAAGTTCTGAAATGGATGAAGATTTTCAAGGTGTGGATTAGAGGTCTGCATAGGGCAGGTTTTCGGCCCACCCATGGGTGGATGGGCAGGTAAAAATTTTTTCGAAAATGAGCAGGCGGGCAAGTTAAAAAATTTTGACTATAGTTGGTTGGGTTAAGAAATTAAATAATGGGCAGGCGGGTTAAGGAAATTTAAAATTTTTGTTTAAAAACAAACTAAAGAAAAATCATAATTAATTAAATGATCAATTACAATATTTCTTTTTTTATTGTACCAATCGTTTTTTTAAGTGAAGAACTCTACTAGTTTTTCGACATTTTTATCTAATTGTTCCCACCATATATAATGTCTCGTAATGGATTTCATTGATGTAATACCCTCATGTCCCGTATGCAAAATATGTAAAACCTTTCATGAAGTGAGTACAGAATGATTAATCTACCAATACAAAATAAAATCCGTCATCATTTTCTTTTTCATCCAATTCTAAAAGCTTGTAATTCTGGTGCTTGATTTTGTATATTTGTACCATTTATTAATATTTTTACCCTTCTTAAAATTGGATCTATTGAGGTTTCCTCTCTAATTTCTTTTCTTGATAGAGTTAATGTGTCATGAGTAAGATTTCTTATACATTTCACTGTTTTATTTTCACTTGTTATTCTATCATCATTTTTCTCTATTGGGTTTTGCGATAAAGCATCTGCAATTATATTATTAGCGTTATTTTTGTACATTATATTATAATCATATGCAGATAATTTATAAGCCCAACGTAATAATCTTTGGGTTGTTAATGAGCTTAAATCTCTGTTATTACCATATATCTTTATTAAAGGCTTGTGGTCTGTTCAAATTTTAAATTTTCGTCCATACAAATAGTTATGAAATTTTTCTACGTCGTTTATTATTGCTTTGCTTCTTTCTCTATTGTAAAATAATTCTTTTCTATGTCTTGTAAAGTTCTTGAGGTGTAAGCTATTGGAAATTCGTTACCATTATCATATTTTTGCATAGGTACAGCACCCTTGGTAGATGCATCTGTTTCCAATATTAACTCGAGGTCTGGTTTATAAAATGGTATAGTATTTTGTTCTGTTACTATTGTGAATAGCATGAAAAAATAAAAATAGCATGGTATTTTATTTTAGAATGGCAGATTAATCATTTCGTACTCACTTCAATAAAGAGTTTTACATATATTGCATACGGGACATCCGGATCTCACTTGAGGAAGAGGATATACTTCACATGGATATCCTACTTTGGTGGAAATGACAAGAGATTTGCCAAAGCTATCATGATTAGCAAGAAAAATATTGGCAATTCCTGCAACTAGTGCTTCTTCTGAACGAGGATTTAGCATTGCTGGAAGGTCTTTAGAACAAAGAAGAAAGTGTTTGAATCCAGAAAATGTCGATTTATTATTATTTTTGCATTATAATAACATATTATATTATATTAATTTTATATTTATTTAATAAATATTCTATTTGATCAAATTAATAGGCCATAATTTAAATCAGAGACCTGCAGAGATACCATTTGCATGGCCTGGCCCGGATTTTTTTTAAAAAAAATTTTTACGACCCAGCCCGGGTTTAAATATTTTAGGCCAGCCTGGATATTTAAAAAAAATTTTTTTTGGGTCTGGTGTAACGTGTGTAAATGATCTGTGAGATTTCGAAATCTCACACCATCAAAATCCCACAGATGGGTTGTGAGATTTTGATCCCCAATGTTTTTGAAGCGATAAATTAAAAATAAAAGTTTTCATGACAAGTATTTAAAATTACTAATATTATAATATAGTGACAATAATTATATACATCCTAACTGTCTTATTATAATCTATGATTGCTTTGCAAGATATATTTGTTTCATTTCAAGAGTTCATTTCTATTTTTAGATTAATAAGTCGAATACTGGGATATATCAAATAAATAAACACCATTAAGCAATAAAGTAAAGGATTTATATAATTTCTATTTTAATATATATAAATTAAATTGCATATAATTGAATAGTCGATTATTTATAATTATATATAAATAAACTTGAATATTATAATTATGTAGCATAGTCTTATTGGTTATATGTTACACTATACCTTCAAAATCTTGGTTCGAATCCCCGTACATACCTTTTTTTTAAATTGAAAATCTGATTGTTTTGTTCTTTTTATTTTTCACAAAATTCGACATATCTTATAACCCGATGCTGCTATCTAGTCTGTATTTTATATTTTTAGTCTGTATTTCATACCAAAGAGTGGGGGTGATATGGTTCAGATTATTTTAGGCTATGTGGGTTGCCTTGGCAATATATGAATATTATTTAATTGATTATTTGTAAAGGAAGTAAAAATATCCTTACTAATATTCTAATTTACACAATATGAAATTTATATAATATAAAACAAATTTAAGTTTAAATAGGTCCAAAACTGAAGACTACAATCTCATAACTATCCAGATTTGACCTTTCCTCAGATTTCCTATATCAATATTAATTTATGATACTTCCATTTTCCACGATATCCTCTAAAAATCATTACCTACCCTTTTTAAATAATGCAAAGAAATGGTAAAATAAATTCTTAACTTAAATGACTTAATCATAATGCTTATTTTGTTTACCTATTTTAAAAAATCCATCTCTATATTATTTTATACTTATATTTGAATTGGGTCACATAAACTAATAAGCAAATAGACAAAGAACTTTATTGATATAACTATTTATCATATAATGCATATTATAATGTATATATAGAATTTTATTTATAAACTACAACTTTCATAAAAAAAATATATCAGCTGAATATAAATTATAATATGAATGAAATATATATTTTTTTAATAAAAATTATTTGATCCTAATAAGGAAATATTAAATAATGACTAGATGGATGATAAATTATTGCAAAAATATATAATATGAGGAATATAAATTATAATATGAATGAAGTATTTATATTTTTATAATAAAAATTATTTGATCTTAATAAGGAAATATTAAATAATGACTAGATGGATGATAAATTATTGCAAAAATATATATTATGAGGAATATAAATTATAATAATGAAGTATTTATATTTTTATAATAAAAATTATATAACACTAATAAAGATGTATTAAATAATGATTAGAGCGATGATAAATGATGGAATCTACCACCATTTTTTATATAAATAAAATTATTATAAATTTTTTTAATATTATCGCGAATATAAAATGGGTCATATCAGGCCCATACAAAGTTATTATTATATTTTAAATATGTAAAAATAGGAGTAATAAGCATTGTGGTCATAGCCCTGACTTCTATGTCAGAAGCCCATATATCCTGTCATAACATTATTTACGATATACGTTTTTATATCCATTTTTTTATTTGTGTCATAAATGTAATTCTGAATTACTTTTTCCATCTCAAATGTTAGCATAAATTGTGCCAACCATTGCCTGAGAATAATGAGCCCCTGTGATCTCCACATTAATTGCCCTAAATTTTATAAAGTAGAATAAAATGAAATTTTATATTAATATGTTCTACCTATAAAAACAATTCCCATCACCTTCAATTTGCCCCAAGATAGTTGGTTCACCAAGTTGTTTACCATAGTCTACATCCCGACAATGTTTGGGAGGCTTTAGAGCATATATTTTGGCATGATATTTTTTCCATGATTTTGTTGTAGGAAAAAAATATCTATGGATATTTTCTAATTTATTTATTATCATAATATCATCATCCAATTCTGTATACATAATTAATTAAAAAATAAATCAAATACATATCAGAAATAACATTACCTATGGGAGACTTTGGATCGATAAAATCTCTTTCAAGTGGAAAATTTTCATCTTTGAAGCCAACATTCTGGGAACCACTGTCAATAGGAAATGTATTACATATATTTTCACACAGATGTGCTGCTTATAAAAATATTTTTAAAAAATTATCATATTCAAAAAATAATTTATATATATATCAAAAATAACATTACCTATG